AAATTCTTCCGCTGTTCTCAGTCCACAGACAAAAGGACCCAATGTCTTTAAGCATCCTCCACCCATTCATAATGGGAATAGTTGTTATTAAGCATTTGTAAGCCCAGTCTAAGAAGTCTAGAAAATCAATACCAAAATCTACAATGATCAGGTAATAAGTTTAAATGAAGTTAGAGCAATTTGGATTTATTTTAAAAATAGAAGAAACAATCATCCAAAATATAAAATTGAGGTGCTAGATCCAAGCCCTGATTATAAGCCTCATTAATTAACCTGCTTTGAATTAGCCCAAGATTATTTTGTCCATGTCTGTCAACAAAAAAAATAATAAGCACTTAAACACTAAACATACAGATTTTTTGATTGTCCCAGATGACAGATGAATTCAGCTGAATCCAAGTATCACCGGGTTATCTTCACTTGAAATCGGGTTGCATTTTCATCTTACAGAGGTGCTGCCCCCAGCATCCTTCTCTGCAAATTCCTTCTTTACAGATCCCCTCCTCCCACACAAACACACGTGAGCCCCTTATCTACTTTGGCCTTGACTTCCCGATTTAAAGAGCCCCACTTAAATTTGGGGGTTTACTCCTTTCTCCACATTGTACCACCTTATTTTGAGCATCACTCTGGGGCTTTCATGACCTCGGTCTGATGCAAACAGCTCTGGTTTTACTAATTCGCTTCCTTGATTACAGGTTTGGGCCACTAGAGCGTAACTCGGCAGTGTCAGAAGCAAACGTGAGCACATAGTGAATATCCTTCTTCTTAGACCCTCCTACCAATAAAGCCACGGATCTCGAAGTTCAGTAATAGAAAATACCTCCAGGCTTTATGGCCTATCCTAAAGGCATCTGATGAGAGCATCAAATGATTGCTTAATGCTAGCATGCATGGGATACACTTTTATTTTGCATCTGTCTTACTTATCACTTTTCTGGTTAGTCAGCAAGTCGATATGCATTTTAAATTTATAACATTAAATATATGAATAGTGCATTCCTTTTTATTATTTATTTACTCACTTTTTTTGGACAGCCTGATATACAGAAAGAAGGAGAGACAGAGAGAAAGATCTTCCATCCACTGATTCACTACCCCAAGAGGCCGCAATGGCTAGAGTTGTACCGATCCAAAGCCAGGAACCAGAAGCTTCTTTCTGGGTCTCCCACACAGGTGTAGAGTCCCAAGGCTTTGGGCCATCCTCAATTGCTTCCCAGGTCACAGGCAGGGAGCGGGACACTGTGACATGAACCGGCGCCCATATGGGAGCCTGGCACATGCAAGGCGAGGCCTTTAGCTACTAGGTTACTGCACTGGGCCTGAATAGTACATTCTTGGTTACTAAATCTCAAAGTTTTTTTTTAAAAAATAGTATTAGACAACAAGCCTGGTAGTGAAAAAGCTAAGAAATTTTTCTCGAAGGTGCTAAAATTCATGTTTTGGAACAGCACAAAATTTCTGTGAGCAGCAATTAATTATCATCCTCCAACAAACAGAAAAATAAAGAAATGAATACATGATGAATGAATTTGCTTGTTCTCTAGCCTCCTCACAACTCCGCATGCTGGCAACGGGAGAAACATGGACTGAATTAAGCCAACATTACAATAAACTCTAGATTCTATTCTGCTAAATACTGCTTACAATAGAACATAAAATTCTATTCATACAGATAGATAGATTTTTAAAGAACATTTTTCCTTTGGTTGTTTGTATTTTCAGATCATACCAGATTGAACTTAAAGGTGTTTTTTAAGAAAACATAACAAACATCTACTAAAGAGGAGTAAGACTTGAAAGAAAATGAAAAGAAATATAAAATTGTAAGTATCCTTGACAGCTCTGGACAATTCTAGAGTTTTCTTTGGACGAAGAAATAGGGGGAAAAAAATGGGTTATAGCAAACCTTTACAGAAAAATATCCCACAGCAGGTATAATCATAATGCTACAAAGAGAAAAAGGAATATTACCACAATGATCCAAAGACGTAAAAATATTTATAAGCAGTGCAAGAAGAAAACGGCTTTATCCTGTTTAAGCAATATAGTTTGCGCAAATACATTGAAGAAAATTGCAGATTCAGTCATTTGTTCATTCAGCAAATGTACTGAAGAAACAATTTTCATGCATTCTTCCAACCAAGGCATTTTAAGTGCCTATCAGATAAGGATACAGTATTATGCACACAAAATATATTTAAACAAATAAACTCATGTCAAATAGCTGAGTGTTTTGAAATATGCATTAAATACATGACACACTTTACTGAATAGGCACTGGAAATTCTTGACTCTATTTGCACATCAAAATAATTTCATGCTGCATAACTCAGGTCAACATAACACATAGAAAAGAATTATCTCTAGATGCAAGCATGAAGTGTGCATCTTTTGAATTCTGATGCTACATTAAAAAAATTGTGATATAAACACCAGTCAAAAAATTGTCTTAAAGATAACATTTATGCATGCTATGCCATAATTTTCTGCAGAATTTTCTTTTTTGATTGTAAGTTCAAAAAAGTACAATTCAAGGTTTTTACTGAGCATAAAAGTTATTTAAAACATCAGCAGGTGACCAATAGCTTTTTCCCAAATGATATGCAGTTACACTCAAAACCTGACTCTTTACAAATCTTACTTTTCACAGTTATTCTGAGGGTTGTATGAACAGAAGTCTATCATACCACCATGGCACTTACAAATGAATGGGGGAAGGGACATGGGCTAACAGAAATCATAACGAGAAAAGCAAACCAAACTAGATGCCACTATCAAGAAAAAAGTAGAGGCAGGTATCAATTGAGGTATTATGCTACACAAGATGGATGTTGACCATAACTGCTCAAGCAAAGGAGCTTTATTTATTTGTTTTTTAAGTGTGACTCAATTGCTCAGCATGTCAGAAAATTAATTTGAAGAGCTTCCACCATGGTCTAGTAAGCTAAGCCTCCACTCACAGGCTGGCATCCCATATGAGCAATGGTTCATGTCCCAGCTGTTCTAATTCCTATTCAACTTCTTGCCAAAGACCTAATGTGGGGGCGGAAAGTAGAGGATGGCCCAAGGCCTTCTGAGACCCAGAAGGAGCTCCAGGCTCCTGGCTTCAGATCAGCCCAGCTCCAGTTGTTGCAGGCATTTGTGGAGTGAACCAGCAAGTGGAAGATCTCTCTCCCTCTCCCTCTCCCTTTCCTTCTCTCTCTGTAACTCTGTCTTTTAAATAAAAACAAGAATTAAAGGAACTGCCCACGGCATCAGAATAGGGAGGTTGCTTGAAACCAATGGCCAAAGTCTCTCTGTTCCAAATTGCTTCTACTGTATTCTAGCCTCCTGCATGATCAACATGTAATATTGAAACAGAAAATTGCAGGTAATGATGTTAAGTTCATCTATAGAGACTGGTGATTCTCTTACACAGAAACTTTTTTAAATGGGGAAAAAAAAAATAACGGTAGAAAAAGCATCTAAGTAATTCCAGGCAACTTCTTTAGAAAGCACAATTACGTCTCCCTAAAGAGACAGAACCCCACCTACTGCAGCCCACCCTAAGCCCTGATGTGGAGTGGGATGAAGGTGATGGGCTTCATTAGGCAGGGTCCACAGGTGAGTAAACATGCATAATGCCCAACTAGAACACGAACACGTGACATTGCAGAACACCCATGAAGGCAGGAAGACATCAGAAGAGGAAAAGGGGGAAGGTAAGAAGATGGCTTTGCAAGACAACAGACCCAGCTTGGCTACGGTTCTGTCCAGGACAGCAGGAAGATGATCGGTCAGTGTTGGGCTGGCCGGGCCACTTTCTCAGCTGCTGTGGACAGCACTGACACCTTCATCCGTTCCTGCCTCGATCCAGTTCTCAAATCACCCATTTATCCTCTAACAATGCCCAACTGCCTGCCTGGCCCCCACCCCCTCATGATTTCAGATACTCGCATCCATTGCTTCCTACCAAATGGCCATCGACGCTTGTCTCAGCTGCGATTTTTATCCAGCAAGTTTTCCTCCCAGCCTTTTTCTTTCTCCATGCTTTCACAGCTTCCTCAGTTACTCAGTCAGGCCATTCTGTAGGCCCGCGTTAAGTCTACACCCTCCCTTACTGGTCTTTGGGACCTCAGGCTCCAGCCTGGAGTTTAGTGTAGGGACTTAAATGGAATGTGTAGGTACTTACCATCTCAGCTCCAAAACAGGGTGTGCCAAGTCCTCCCCAAAGTGTACAGAAATTGAGTTAGAACAATAGCCAAGAGAAAGAGAGCTTCAGCTTGGAGGTTAATCTCTCTCTCTCTCTCTCTCTCTGGCTCTCGATATATCTCAAATGGAAGGATCTGAAAAATTCAGAATAGAACCTTCTGTAAGCTCACATTTCAAGACACCAAGCAGAATGTTGACACTACCGTCCCAGAAGACAACAGGGAAATGCAGTTTCAGGTGATTCACCTTGGTGTCCCATCGCGAAGCTCTTGTGAGACACAGCCAAAGCAAATGTGCACATGTCATTCAGGTTACTTTAACACTCCTCATTTTGTGATATGGAGTTTATTCTTCCCAAGTCATGTTTTCATTGACTTTTTAAAATTCGGAGCACTAAACAAAAAGCCCTCAAAAACTGTCAGGAGGGACACACTAATCAGATGGCACATTCATTAACAAAGTACTATGACAGACGGGACCTGTCCCACACACCTAGAAGCACTTAGTGGAAGAACAGGAAGGGTGCTCCTTGGAGAGTGGCGGGAAGAAGAAAAGCCCGGAAGGAGTGGGGCGGCATGGAGGAAGTCGTAAACTAGAAATGGAGACTCCCAGGCTCCGGCCCCAGCTGTGCTGACCGAGGCGTCTATTTCCTCGGCCTGAACACTCAGGCAAACGGATCGAATCCGGCCTGGCCCTGGGCTCCGCCGTCCCCTGCGCGCTGCCCCCGGGAAGCACGGGAGCGAGCCGCGCGTGCGCGCCCGAGGCCACGTGACCCGGCCGCAGGTTCGCGACCCGGCCGTCATGGCGTCTGAGGCGGCACGACCCGGGCTGTGGCCTGGCGCGGACGCCCGGTTCTTCTGCACCGCGGGCCGCGGCCTGGAGTCGTTCCTGATGCGGGAGGTGCAGGCGCGGCTGGCGGCCACGCAGGTGAGTCGGCCTCGCCCGGTTCCCGTTCGCCGATGGGCGACGCCGAACCCGCGCTCCCCGCCCACGGCTGGGACGGTCCGCTCAGGCGTCCTGCTGCGGACAAAGTTGTGCTCCGCACCTGCCCTTAGACCCAGTCTGCCGGTTAGTCTTTGCTTCAAAGAGTGCGTACAAACTTAGTCCTCAGTAGCTGCTGGACGACCAGTGCAAGTGCCTGGTAGGAAAGGGGGAGCTTGTATACTGGAACAGCGCTGCCCGCTGGCAGCTCCCACCCAGGAGTTTCTAGGGAGTAGCAAGGGACTGACAGAGGCTCCTGAGTCTTAAGAATACACCTGCCGTTTGCAGTTCGGTTCCAAGAATTTAATAGTGTTAATGTAACAAGACTGTAATAGCGATTGCTGATGGTTGCTAAGCACTTCACATGCGTCACGCATAGTTCCTGATCGATACTGTATTTATTTAAATGTTTGCAACACGCCCACGAGAGAGGTGTTGTGCATTTAGCAGGTGAGGACAGTGGCGCTTGGGGAAATCTGCTGTTTTATTTCAGTAATGCCTCTAGAAAGTGGCAGACCTGGGATTTGAACCCAAGCTGCCTGTCACCGTATATGAATATTATCATCACGCTCAGCCCAGGCCGGCTTCGTGGTCACTGCCATGTAGGATGCATAATATAAAAAACGGGGGCCTTGACCCAATCTGGATATGTAGGTTTATTAGTAGAAAGAAAGACCCTCTTCCTCTTGGCTTATTTTTCATCTTTAAAGATACACAGAGATTTGGGAAGCTTTAACAGCAAGAAATTCTTGCTTAAATAAACTTCTAGGAGCTAGCGAGGTGGCATTGCCAGGTTAAGCTGCCACCTGTAACACTGGCAGCGCTTACTGGCATGCCATTTGGAGTGCTGTCACCTTCGCCATGACTGCCCTGCCAGCACGTCTAGAAGAACCACAGAAAATGACCCAAGTGCCTGGGCGCTTCCCACCCTCCTGAGGCCCGGATGGAATTCCAAGCTCCTGCCTGGAACTGCCACTGTTTGGGAACCAGCGAAGAGAAGACCATCTTCTCTGTTTCTCTCTCTTGGTTTTATCACTCTTTCAAATAACTAAATAAATCTCTGAAAAATAAATATGTAATTTTGGGTATATCCCCCAAATTTTTTGAGCTCCACTTTCCTTAGTTGTAAACTAAAGCTGCTAGTACTTACTTTAAGAGATAATACAGTTCTTGAAGTAAAAATAAATTACTCAGGGATACTTAGAATCCTGCCTGCAATGACGAGAGAGCTTACTAGAAACCTCGACTCACTGCCAAAAAATGAATAGTCTGTAATCTGACTTTACAAAACACATTCATTCAGAAGTCATTGTTTACTTGTTAGGAAGTAATCACTCCAGTCTTTTTTCTTTTTAATTTTTTTTCCCCAATTTTCGAGAACACAGAATCTCAGGGGAGCTTGTTCACAATTCAGCACCTCCCCACCCTGTTTTCTTTGGTTTCCTTTGGGTTAACTGAGAAGTTCAGGGGTTTGCTTTTCCACGTGGAATTACGTACCTCGATCCCCACCCCACCCCCAAACATATACACTGTGACACTCCCAGCACACGTTTTCTAATAAAACCCGCTGTGCATCACCTTGGCTTTTCCATCATGGAGTTTCAGACACGGTCAGCAGTGAGCTGGAGCCTTCGTCCTCATCAACAGCTCCCGCAGAGATTAACCCGTGGTACAACCACTATAGATGGAAATACTTGCCTTTACCCCTCCAATAGAAGGAGATTTTTTTTTTAGTAGCATGGCAGATGTGTTAGAAAAAACGCACACATGTTCACATAGCGTTGTGTTTGACTAGTTATAGGCAGTAAACTGATAAAAGGGGAAACAAGTATGATCATAAACACCAAATTCCTGTCTGCCTGATGCTTTAAGATGTAATTGCTGTCCTCACCAAGGATAAGCCAATCAGTGCTTGCACATACATGAGACTTCGATTGTTACAGGCTCATGTAAGCCAGTAAACTACTGATGACATGCCTGTCACTTGTGAAAGGAATGCAGGCCTTGGAACTATGCTGCTGCTTTTGTATTGAGATTGCATTTGGTGTCTTCATGTATCCACACATATTGTTCTTCGATTTGACACCTGAATAAGTTATTAAGACCTCTTGTTGCTTGGTCCTGTTCTTGGTGGAAATGTCCTATGCTGGCTTACCCCTACCGCCCCCCAGAGAGAAAGGTAATTAACTACTATGAATGAATGTCAAAAATCACTGACTATATAAGACTAAAATCAGTGATTATGGTGTTTGTATCATTTTACTGGTTTAGGACTTGAATTTTAAAGCCAGACATTTTCAGTCAAATATTTAATATCTACTAAATTGATCTGACGTTTACTTTTGAAAACGTTGCTTTTGGAGTTGTAGGCATTTTAAGGTCTAGGTTTGGGGAAAGATCACTTATGTAAAGGAGAAATAAGGAAATTCTAGAAACCAGAAGTTCTTGTTTTGATGACTTCACTGCCCCCCTTCAGTGTTGGTTCTGGAACATTTCTTGCCTGCCCTGAATGCTCTGTAATGTCGTTGTCTGTTCCTCCATCTGTCCTGATGCGCTGCCCTGCTGGAACCCGAGCTACTTAGGTTTTAATCGGTGCTACTCTGGGGCTCCCTCAACAGTCTCACACATCAACCTGGAACAGAAACCCCAGAAGTTATCATCCTAACAGCCTAGCTAGACCATTTCAGCTAGAGCCCCCAACACACACAGGTGCATGCACACCCACACCCACAGTCCTCCGGAGAGCATGTTCCATGAACGGTCGCTGCCTAAACACATGGACTATCCAAGTTCACTTATGTCCTGGTCCTGGTTCAGCTTCAGATCATGATATCAGCCCATGATGACCACTGAAAGCATTTGAGGACAGTTCACACACATCCTGAGCATAAAGAGGGCTGGCTACCTGAAAACAATAGGCATCATTTACCCACTCCCCATTAGGATTCTGGAATCAGTGCTCTTGCCTTTCTTTCCTGATTGGTACTACATACCCACGCATGTCCCAAGTCTGTTTCTGTTTGATGCATATATCTTGCTTCCATCCAATTCCGATTCCCGCAGCCAAGTTTCTCATCACTGCTACCTTAGTAATCTATGTCTCCCTCTAGCATCCCATTCTGTACCAAGTCTTTTATGTCTCTTCTGAAGTAATTTTTTCTGCCAACCAATTCTGTGCTGTCACGACTTTCATCAGAAGTCTACCGTGCTTGACCGTTAGCATCTGCAGAACTCAAACTTTGATGACCATTTATCAGGCCAGCCTGAACTAGCCTAACCATCCCCTGACACCATCAATCAGGGTTAACACAGCAAAGGGTGCCAAGCTAACTTACAGTTCATTTCAGCTAGGTTTTCACTTCCACTTCTGCTTCTATCCCCTGTTCTTGCATTAGAATTCCTCTTCCCAAATCTTAAAAGATTCTTAAAACTTTGTATAATGTTGCCTCCCATATTTGCCGATACTTATTTTATGTATAGCTTATCAGTGCATTTTAATATTAAAATGTCTTTGTCTTCCTCTGGGTTTAATTTAGGCTATTGTATTAAGATGCTTACATCTTAATTAGTGTATCAGTAAATGACTACTGCATCATCATTTAGCATGTGTATGCTCTATGCTTCCTGGGATATCCACCTTGGACTCAACCTTGTGTGTCTCACACATTATTCTTTACTTTTGCCCACTTGGATGCAGTATGTGTGGTTTCTGCAGGTAATGACTGAGAGATAAGGATTTTTACAATGATTGGGGTAGGAGGCGGAATAGGCATTCAGAGCGCCTAACCGATGGGAATGCTGCCTTTTAATTGTTAACCCACGCTTCAGATGTTAATGATGAAGGAGGCTGTGGAGGAAATCCTTCTTAGCCTGATGCTGCTACACTGCTATCTCTTTTTCTGTCTCTAGGTTGAATATATTTCAGGGAAGGTTTTCTTCACCACCAGTGCCAGTTTGAATATGCTGAAGACATTAAAGTCCGCAGAAAGGTTGTTTTTACTGATTACAAAGCAGCTTCCATTCACTGTTTCTTCTACAAGAAAAGGTACAGGTAAGTGTGTTGCTTTTACCTGAATATACTCTTTGATCCATAAGTACATCTCCAGAGTTGTCTGCATGATAATGAGGATGCGGTCATGTCACCAGACTCAATCATACATGTGGGCTTGTTAATGATATGTTTATGTGTTTTCTGAATATTATCACTTCATTATAGTGGAATTTGAATTTTCTCCCTGTAGCTTGCTGCTTAGATTTCAAGATTTTATAATCATAAGGTACATGTCTTCTTCACATATATATTGTATTTATTTGGATTTGGAAGCATATGCGCCCCCAAAATGCATTGTTTTCATAATAAATAGACAAAAAAAACCCTGTCATCTTATAAAATGTAACTGAGGGATATAATTGGAAAAATACTACACAGGTTTTTTTAAAGTATGGAACCCTAAATGTTTTCAATAAAATTGCAACCATTTATAAAACCTTAGAGCTAAAAGGATTTTAAGAGATTCCTTAATTTTATATTTTGTATAATTTTAATATTATAAGTTTAATTTAATTATTTTATAAATATGCTGCTGCAGTAATTTAAGGCTCTTGATTAAAGCAACAAAACAGAAACAAGGTCAGAGGGAAGGCAGAGTGGCTCAGCAAGCTGATTCTCCACCTACATCACTGGCATCCCATATGGACACTGGTTTTAGTCCTTACTGCTCCACTTTCAATCCAGGTTCCTACTGGTGGACTGGGAAAGCGGCAGAAGATGGTTAAAGTCCTTGGGCCCCTGCACCTACGTAGGAGATACAGAAAAAGCTCTTGGCTCCTGGCTTTGGATTAGCTCACCTCTGGTCAGGGCAGCCATCAGAGTGAACCATCATAAAGAACTCTATCTCTCCTTCTCACTATAAATCTGCCTTTTCAAATAGAAATAAATAAATTTTTTAAATGTAGGGTCAGATTCTAGGATTAAACAGTGCTTTAAACTAGAGTTTATTACTGATTGTGCACAAGAGGCCATATGATGATATAATCTATAATAAACTATTTCAAAAAATATTCAGAGAGCAAGAAGTCAAGATTGGGCAGAACTATTTCAAAGCAAATCTCAAGGTATTGCACCATAAGTGAGTATAATTTCATACCATTATTCCATATATTCTCATCCTTAGGGAACTTGCATAATTACTCTTGGATCATTGTGGTGACCCTTGTTCGTCAAGAAAAGATTAGATTTTGCCAAGGATGTTGAGAATTGCTAAGTTACAAATGGGTTGTCTTATCTGAAGTGTCACTTTATGGATGCCTGATAATTTCATATGGCCTAAAACGAAATAGGCCAAGATTCAGATGCTTGGCTTCTGAACTCTCTTTTGCAGTTTCCTCTTTGAAAGAAAAAGCAATTTAGCTTTTATAGGGAAGATCACCATTATTTCAAATTCATATACGCCTTAGGCCTATGCTTATACCAAAGTGCTACATATATTATGAGACAAATGATCTTGCTTACATAACATTTTTATAATTTTGCTGGAATTTTAATGCCATTTTGATGTCAGATATACACCATAAGAATGAAATTTATACTTCATAAAATTCTTAGATTAAATTATATATTGTAGGGGCCAGTGCAGTGGCATAGCACTAACACTCTTTCTGTGATACGAGCATCCCATGTAGCCACTGTTTCCAGTCCAGGCTGTTCCCATCCAGCTCCCTTCTTATGGACTGGGAAAGTAGCAGAGGATGGCTCAAATCCTTGGGCCCCTGAACTCACATGGGAAACCCAGAGGAAGCTTCTAGCTTCGGATCAGCTCAGCACTGGCCATTGCAGCTGTCTGGGCCTCAACCAGAGGATGGAAGACCTCACTTGCTCTCTGCGTCTTCTGTAAAAAAAAAAAAAAGAAAGAAAGAAAAAATCTGCCTTTCAAATAAAAATAATTTTTTATAAAAAATTATATAAATTCCAAATGGAAGTCCAATTATTTATGTGGCAATTTAATAATAGAATTTCAAGAAATAAAAGTAATAGGATGTGGGGTGATAAGTGTAATAGATAATCTTTCGAGCTTCAGTAAGGAATAATCTGGGCTTTGATTTGTCTAGGAAAAATACTAAGTGAAATACAAAGACTTATAAATGATGACCCAGGAAACTGGTTGAACATCATTTCAATTTGGAAAGATCTTCTTGAGCTCAATATTGAAAATGAGAAACTTTCTCAAAGAGATGCTAACCCACTGAAAAGAAAAGTGGGAGAAAAAGGAACCATTGTTGCTAAGAAACCAAAGATGGAACAAACGGAAGAGGTCAAAGAGAACACGGAATGCCAGCTGGAAAAACAAAGAGAAGAAACTCAGCAAAGGGAATCTGTCACTGTGAGGGAAGAGCTTCCAGAGGCAGGCTCCCAGGACCAGGGAGAAAATGCAGCCGAAACCCGTCACCAGAGTGGCTTGACATTCAGAGTCTCCTGTCGCTGCAGTGGAACAATTGGAAAGGCAGTGACTGCCCAGGTATGCCTACCTCCCAAAGTGCAGGGGTCCATATTCTAAGACTTCATCAGTCTTTGGATTGACAATGCCAGAACAGATAGACCAAGTGTCTTATCCTGAAAGGAGCAGTTTGTTTCTTGCCTTCACCTCAGATGCTGCAGAGAAATGGTATGCTGCTCCTTGTGATGACCTCGCTTTACTTTCTGCCAAAAAGTTTCCTGAAGCTCGTAGATGCCATTTGCATCTGGAAGTATAATGATGGATCTCCTGGGGAATCCTTCCACTTGCATTCTGGGTTTACGCAATGAGTCCTTTCTATCAGGCCCCATGTTGGAAGTGTCAGCGGGACCTGGACCACAATCCACAGATGTTCACAAGGTGAACCGAGGAGAGAGTGGTCACCACGCTGTTTCCGGCACAAAAGGTCACCAGTGAACCATTCCAGAATTCAGTGATGTCAAGGACATTCGCCTGGGTCCTTTAGCCTGCCTTGGAGTCACACAGACCCCAAAGACTGATTCTAATGATAGTGATGTAGGCATTTTTAAGCATAGGCTTATGATATGTAACATAATGTGTCTGAGCTTGCATCCATCTCCTAAAATCTGAAATCACTGTCATGATCAGATCCTGATCTGGTTGTTTCATCTACCTCAAATCAGAAGATTAGAGCTGACGTATGAGTTAGATAGTAATGCCAAGAAGTGTTTTTAAGGTGCGGGAGGTAAAAATGACACCTTCTTGCTTTGAATAGAAAATGCTTCAGGGCACTATTTTAATTACATTGTAATAATGTGTATTTATTTTAATTAATGTGCAATGTTTATTACACAATTAATGTAATCCTAAAATATCATCAAATCATCTGACTGTATTTTCTTCCTGATTCTGTTGGTTTATGCTTGTATTTAAATTTTTTTATTTTTACTTATGTTTTCTCTATGATTTGCTATTTTTTTAGGAGGTAGGAAGAGTAATTGGAGTTGCTCTTATGAGACAGTTTGGATGGAAAGCAGATTTAAGGAATCCAGACCTAGAGGTAATGTATCCTTTTATTTTGTATCCCAGTAGAATAATTCTTTAAAAGCTATTCTTACAATTGTCTATTATCATACTTTTTAGTTTTACCTTATAGAGTTTTCAAAAGCATGTTCACACAGATACAACACTCTCTTCTCTAGCAGGGAAATTGTGCACAGAGTTTTACTAGTCATTTGCACTGTGAAAGGTTCTTATCCAAATGGGAAAAAAATAAGTCTGTTTTAAGTGGCATTGTTTTGCCATAATTAAGAAGATCTTTATTAAGAGGTAGCAGGGGTACAACAGAAAAGCTCCATAATACATAACAAGTCTCTAATAACTTCTAGTTGATGTTTAAGAAACTTGGCAACAATAAGACCTACATGAATCAGTAGTAGATTAATGGTGGCTTTTTTAGATTTTGGAGGGTTATATTTTTATTTTGAGAAGGAAGGAGACAAGGACAGGCAGAGAGCGCTCCTACGCACTGGTTCACCCCGTGACATCCATAAATGCCAGGGCTGGGGCCAGAGCCAGGAACTGGAAACATAAGCCAGGTCTCCTATGGGTGGGAGAAACTCAATGACTTGAGCTATCTCCTGCGGCTCCCAGGATCTGTATTGGCCAGAAGCTGGACTCCAGAGGGTATGGGATATGGGTGTCTTAACCAGTAGGCTAAAGGTCTGCTTCCCTCTTTCTCTGTTTTCAAAATTATTTTTAATAGAATTGCACTATTTATAATTTTCGCACATACATAGAGAAACAAAAAATATTCTCACTTCCTGGCTCCTGGCTTGGATCTGGCTGTTGTGGCCATTTGGAGAGCAAACCAGAAAATGGAAGATTTCTTTCTCTCTAATAAAAACAAATGAGTCTTCAGTGTTCTCCACTACATTTTGAACACCTCCTTTTATATTTTACGTTGAGTTGAGTGGTTAGGACACCTGTATCCCCTGTCAGACCCTCTGGATTCTCACCCTCAGTTCTCCCTCACCAGCTCCTCACTCGAGCTTGCTGTCCACATGGACCTAGAGAGCAGTGATGGCTCAAGTATTTGGGTGTCTGCCATCTTTTGGGTGCATTCACAGTGCCTGGCTCGAGGTCCCGAACAACCCCAGCAACTGCAGGCAAATGGAGAGTGTTAGGGCTGAAGAGGATTTGGCTCCCCATACCCACACAGTTTTATGCTAAGGGTTAGTGGATGAAGGCTCAGCATTGATGAGTATGGGGGGAGGCTTGATTCAGTTAATGGCTTCTGAAGATGGAGCCTTTGAGAGTGATGGTGGCTGTCTAAGGAGAAGCCAGGTAGAGGGTCGAGGGGGAACGGGTTTCCTCTGCTTTCTGACTGACCGAGTGATTGGTCCTCTGCACACCCTTCACCCGTTGCAAGATCAGCCCTTGAGGGGCCACTCAATCATGGCCTATGAACCTCCGAATTAAGCTGCCTTCCTCAGTCTAGGTGGCCCCTCTTTAGTGTTTTAGTTTAGTAATGTAAAGTTCACTAATACAAGGAATAAACCAACCTTCTCTTGTCTGTCTGACTCTTTCAGCCTCTCACATAAAGAAATGAGTTCTGTAGACTAGCCATTCTCATATTTCATGAATTCTTGTAGATTCTTATATATATTCTTATATAGACTTTTTTTTAAGAGCATTTTTAAAGGAATTATTTATTTGAAAGGCTGAACTACCCAGAGAGGGAGAGACAGAGACAAATGCATCTTCCACCTACTTTCTCATTTTCAAAATGGCTAAGGCTGGGCAGGGTCAAAGCCAGAGCCAAGAGCTGCATCTGGGTCTCCAGTGTGGGTGCTGGGAGCCAAGTACTTAGGCTGTCTTCTGCTGCTTTTCCAGGTTCGATGGCAGGAAGCTGGATCCTAAGTGGCATAGTTGGGACTCAAACTGGTTTCCTTATGGGATTCTGGACATCATGACGCACTATGGCACAGTGCCAACCCTGCTGTATCACTATGACACATGTGGGATAATAACTGTCCAAATAAATGACAAGAGTTTGTAGAGTAACCCCCCAGGGACATTTTTCTTTCACTTGGTGATTTTACTTTAAAATGAAATACCTGGTGTGTATCCTGTTTTGCTTTCCATGCAGAACATTTTGAACCAGGGAGTATTTTCACATGAGGGTATGTCTTGCATCTTTCCCGGTTCCCTCATCTCTTCTCTGCATCTCCCCAACTCCATCCCACTGTCAGAATTACTGTTCTCTCATAGACTTGTTCATAAATAAATATTCCACATTTAATTCCTATCACCTATTTAGTGCAATAGAATTAAGTAATAGTAACAAAAAAATAACAACACTAAAATCATATCATTAAATTTGTAACTAAAAATTGACAGAGGAATGAATTCAATAATAAATGTTCTACACAATTGATAGGAAAGAAATTGCATAGTGGGGGAAGCTGTTAATAACTTTGATACGAAGCAAAGATCTGAGTCCAGCACCCTGGTTAGTTTCACCTGCAGCACAAGCATGCTGTGCAGCCATTGGCTCATGTCCTGGATGCTCTACTTCTGGTGCAGCTCCCTACTTAGGACCTGGAAAAGCAGCAGACACTTTGCACTCTGCACTCACGTGGGAGACCCGGAGGAAGCTCCTGGCTTCCAGTCAGCTCAGCTCTGGGTGTTGCGGCCATATGAGGAGTAAATCAGCAGATGGAAGATTCTCTCTGTCTCTCCTTTTCATGCAATTCTGTCTTTAAAGAATAAATACATTTTTGAAAATTGGAAAAAGAATTCAATATTGATGTATATCTTTAAATTATTTATGGGCAGGAATAACTTGGTTAAAATGTTTTATATGTGAATTTCCAAAGTGTAACCTGGTACATCATTGATTGATCAGCCAATTAAATGGGCTAAATGAAGACATTCCAGATCATTTCTTTATGAAAAATTTATTAATGCTGGAATAATTCTGATTAAATTGCTTATGTTAAAAATAACCTTGAGATGAATGTATGAAGGGTAATTAAAATATTTCAAAGTAGAATATTCTATAAACCTTATTAGGCTGCAAAGTAAGAATCGTCTTAAGTTTAAAATTAATATGAGCTACCAGTAGTAACTTGAGGCACTTAAATCCTTTTTATGGCCTAAAAGAAGAAAAGACAGAGAGACACAAATTCTCCTAGAAGTAGTAGAGAACTCAAAGCACATCTGAGTTACCATATATTTGAACAAAGAAACTTTTCTGTTAATGTGCAATTATTTGTAGCCTGTGGAAGTGCTGTTGTGGCTCTGAGTCTTCCCTGATGTTTGAGTTAGGATCGCTTTCTGAAATCTCTAACCCCAAATGCCGCAAAGTGAGATTCTGTTAAGACATTTTACAGACTCTCTTGGGTAGAAAAGTTGTTCTTGAGTTCTTTGTAACATGATTTTCTGTATAACTTGTGTACCCAAATTGACCTTAGGGTTCTTCTATGACTTGTACATATAAGATAAAAATATTTTTTCCAGATGTGACAAAGAAAACTTTAGGATTTACTACGCTATAATCACGTAAGTTGAAAGCAGCAGCTTTCAGATGGTCGGTGCTTTGGCGATGCAGTTTTGTGTTCCACCCTAACTAATGTGTTTGTTGTTTCAGGTATTTATCCATCTCAATGACATTTACTCCGTGGTTGGGATCCCTGTCCTCAGGTAGATAGGAAATTCTACATTTGAGGTTTGCTTGCAAGGATATGTGAAATTAAGAACTTCATTGTTTTTAGTTATTGTATGAAACTTCGATAAAGCAGAGAAGGCTAAAGACCAGGCATTGAGGTTCATTGCTGGAGCCATTAGCACGTTTTCATACCACGTGAGTTGCTATAAGGGTTAGAGCTGTGAACGATATCATCATAGTAGTCCATTGACAACATAATTGATCTTGTATATTATGACCATTTATTTCTGCAAAATGATTTTCACTGGTTCATGTTTTTTTTGGAAAGATTTATTAATTTTTATTGCAAAGTCAGATATACAGAGAGGAGGAGAAACAATGAGGAAGATTTTCCATCTGATGATTCACTCCCCAAGTGACTGCAACAGCTGGAGCTGTGCCGATCCAAAGCCAGGAGCCAGGAACTTCCTTCAGGTCTCCCACACGGGTGCAGGGTCCCAAGGCTTTGGGCCGTCCTCGACTGCTTTCCCAGGCCACAAGCAGGGAGCTGCATGGGAAGTGGAGCTGCTGGGATTAGAACCAGCACCCATATGGGATCCTGGTGCATTCAAGGAGAGGATTTTAGGTGATAGGCCAGGCCCCACGGGTTCATGTTTAAGCTAAAATTTTAATCTATCAGCATCTTGGAGTTTTAGCTAAAATAGAAAATATAGCACAATTCTTCAGATTCATCTGGAGCGTTCTCTGCATTTTATTGCCATTCTTCGTTTATTGTGGAAAGTTGTTTATTGACAGAACTAAAAATCTTTACATGTCTCCCCAGTCATGTAGAAGACTAATTAATAAACACAAATGATCTTTTTAAAGATTGATTTCTCTATCTTGAAAATCAGAGTTACAGAAAGAGAGACAGATCTTCCTTCTTACTGGGTCACTTCAGGATGGCCACAGTTGCTGAGACTGGGCCAGGCTGAAGCCAGGAGCCAAGAGCTTTATCCAGGTCTCACATGTGCATGCCATGGGCCCAAACTCTTGGGCCATCTTCTGCTTTTCCCAGACCATTAGCAGGGAGCTAATGGAACAGCCGGGACACAAATTTGCACCCATGGGGATGCCGGCATTGCAGGTGCAGCTTAACCCTCCATGCCACAATATCAACCATGATTTGTTTCTTTATTCAGTTGTCTACTGGATTCTCATTGTACTCCTGGTACTTTTTCTAGATGCTTTCGTAGAAGAGCTGGATAGATGAAACAGTGATTTTTCTATTCCTGAGAACTAATATATAGTGGCATCTCAAAATATTTTATATATCTAAAATCTCCCTGCTTATGTGACAAAAATAATTCATATGACATTTTTTCTAAGCCATTCTAGGCATGGAATGTTTTAAAAATCTGGGCCGACCATTTGGCATAGCTGCTAAGACCCCACTTGGGATGTGTGCATCCCATATCGCAACACCTGCTTTGTTCCCCAGTACAGCTCACTGCTGATCTGGGCCCTGGGCAGCAAATAAGGGCATGAGTGGTTGAGTCCATGCCATCTGCATGGGCGACACAGATCAAGTTCACGGCTGCTAGCTCTAGCCTGTCCCGGCCCCACAAGAGGTGACGTCTGGGGAGTGAACCAGCAAAGGGGAGAGCTCTTCCTGTTTCTCTGACTTTCAAGTAAATAATTTTTAAAGAAATGGTCATAAAAGTCCTATGAGAATATCATGTTTGCTTGAAGTCCACATTGAGGATCTACCTGCAAGCCTCAATCAGGATGTATTTTTAAATGCTTGACATTAGGAGTTCTGCACGGTGGCACAGCCACCACTTGGCTGGCACTACAGTTCAATCCTGGCTGCTCTGTTTCTGAGACCGTTTCCTGTTTCTGTTCCTGAAAGGCAGTGGAAGTGGGCCCTGGCACACCTGTGGGAGGGCACGCTGGAGTGCCTGGCTTCTGCCTTTGGTCTGGTCACCATCTATTTGCTGGGACCATTTGAGGAGTGAGCCAACCAATGGAAGAAGGCACGTGTGTGTTCTCTCTCTCCTCTCTCTTTCTCTCTCTCTCTATCATTCTGCCTTTCAAACAAGTAATTAAAAAAAGAAAGGACGAACCAACTCTTCAGATTCTTACACTAGCCTTTTGTCTTAGCAGTTTACTAGCACACTGCTGAAACCATTGTAGGTGTTTAACAACTGCTTAATGATTGAATTCTTGCTGTGTGCTAATACATATGGTAGGCTGCACTAGCATCTTATTATAAAAGTCATGCGCTAAATAAAATTTCTTGTCACCATTACGCTCATTACCACATGCCTCAGTGCTTTAGTGATCTCCTGTGTCTCCGTGCTTTACATGTTCTGTAACACCAAAGGTTTCCAGACTGTTCTACCCCCATCCCTGTTGGAGCCTAAAGTGATTAACTTCAGTTTGAATGATATTTTCTATCTGAACTTTTAAAATTCTGTAATAGCTGCAAAAAGGCTGGAAGAGGGCCCAACACAGTAGCCTAGTGGCTAAAGTCCTCTCTTTGCATGCCCTGGGATCCCATATGGGCAGGAGTTCTAATCCCAGCAGCTCCACTTCCCATGCAGCTCCCTGCTTGTGGCCTGGGAAAGCAGTCGAGGATAGCCCAAAGCCTTGGGACCCTGCACCCGTGTGGGAGACCTGAAGGAAGTTCCTGGCTCCTGGCTTTGGATCGGCTCAGCTCTGGCCATTGCAGTCTCTTGGGGATTGAATCAATAGACAGAAGATCTTCCTCTCTGTATATCTAACTTTCCAGTACAAAAATAACAAAATAAATCTTTTTTTTTTTTTTTTTTTTTAAGGCTGGAAGAAAGTGAAAGATGGCCAGATTCCAATCTGGTCCCCATAAATAGCAAGAGTAAGATTAATAAAACAAACGAAAACAAGAGATGAATTTTTTCAAGAATTCTTGAGGCCATTATTTTTACATTTTATTTTTAGATTTACGTGTTTGAGAGAGAGAGAGAGATAGCTATCCTTGCTGCATTGCTCCCTGCATGCTTGCAACAACCAAGGCAAAAGTCAGAAACTGAAAACTGGTTACTTGCGGGTGGCAGGAACTCAGACACTGGGTCTACCTTGGCAGGAAGCTAGACTCACGAGCGAGAGCTGAGGAGCCCGCTCCGGACTGGGACTGGGATCTGGGCATCTTCAGCCCTAGGCTCAACATCCTCTTCAGCCATTGGATCTTGGAGACCTTTCACCCCATAAATGCATGTCTAGAAAATTCACTTAACAAGGAGCATCTCACCTTTAGTAGTACTGACTGGGTAGTGTTAATATACAGAAATTCTTAGCAACAAGTTGAAGAACCTTTATATTAAAGGTAAAATTCTATGCTTCTATCAAATGTACATAGAGAAAATTATATTTCTGTTTTTAAGGCATTACATTTTATCAAATTTGTTTGCCATAAACGTTCAAAGTCATGTTTATGGCATTTCAGTAATCATTGGCTGCATCCATAAAAGGTGTGTAGGATTCAGTCCTTGATGAGCAGTGATTGGCAGTGAGATGGCAGTAGATGCTCTCTGAACAGCTGCTTGGACCACCTCTGTATGGAAGTAAGCAGACGCACTGATCCATGATGACTGAAAAGGAATGGCTTTCTGGTGTATGAGGAAAACACAGGCATGGTGCCTTGAATAGCAAGGAGGGGAGAACCAGAGGATTGACAACCTGGAGACCATGAGGACCAAAGAAAATCAGAAATGACAGCACAGACCATAGAACAGCCCTCCATAAATCTGAATCTTTGTAGTCCCTGATGACCTGGTTCATAGCAGAGCTCTACTTTCCTTTAAGAAAAGAACACTTGCACGTCAGCAGAGCACAGGACGTGAACTGTCAGTGCAGCCTTGTCCTGCTGTGCCCATCACCTAGAACAGTCTGAATGATGACTAAGAAATGGACTTGAATTCTCTGTTATCCACAGATGAACTCTTCAGGTGTGGATAACTCATTAAAACCCTTTTGTTCTAAAATCAGGAAAATAATAATCCCCACTTTTTTAGTTTTGTATTGGAAGTAAATAAAACAGCCCATGTGAACAATGCTCAGTGTCATTTCTAGGATGCAGTAAATATTGAATACATTGCAACTGCTTTATGTTTGCAACAACTTAGCAACTGAAGAGGGAAGCAGAGAAGCATTCACTAGAGATTCATTCAGTTGGTTTCAGTTGAAGCATCTATTGTGTACTCGGTATGTGCAACATACTGTACTAGCCACCTGCTGTTGACAGATGAGTAAGATGGCTGTTATGTTTAGGGAATGAAGCCTAATGGTTAAGACCAACATTTGATGGAAAGGAGCTCTGACTCTGATAAAGGAGGTGAACACAAAAATGTACAGGAACATATCTAACCAACTGACATGAAGGGAGTCAGCAGCCAAGAAGAGGAATAGGCTAGAAATGACGTGGGCAAAGCACGGAGATGTGAGGAGTCTTGATCTATGAATGGCAAGAGTTTCAGTATAGATGGAGCAAAGAATGAACTTGTTTTATAGCTTTTCATTTAAGGGGATGTATAGTAACTGTGTAATAGGGACTATCATATCCAGATGTGAAGATACAATGCAATATGCATCTCTACTTCCAAATCAAAGATGGACTCCCAATGAAACTTAACTATAGCTTGATAATCGGATGATGAATTCTCTGCCATTGTCTATACCAACGATGTCAGGATACACTTCAGAACAGATTGGCTTAAGACTGTTTATGAAGGACTGTGCTACTGTAATAATATGGAGGGAGTCACTAGGGGGAAGGGATTTGGGCAGGAAAATCCCAGAGCCTATAGAACTATCATAAAACAATTTTCTAATGTGAAAAATAAAAAGAAAACAATAAAAAATGATTTGGGGAAATGGGAGAAATCACACTAAAATTAGAAATTTGTGACAGGTCATTAAGTTTTTGTAAGCCATGTCAGCTTGGATTTTATTCTAAAAGCTGGAAGAAGTTTTAAGCAGGAGTGTGTGATGATCAGATCTGTGATTTCAAAAAACAATTACCAAGCAGATTGTATATAAAAATGAAAGTCAAGAAAAGTGAGCCCTCTTAGAAATGGTTAAAATATCCTAAGCAAAGAATGGATGAGGGACTGAGCTAAGGCAGAGTAGGAGTGACAAAAGCCATGAATTCAAGAACATGCTAAGGAGTCTACAATAGCTTCCACATTAGTCACTGAGATGCAAAATTGTAGGGAAAGGAAACTTTTCAGTTAAAAAAAAAAAAACCCTAAGTTGCCTCAAGCGCAGGTTAGAATACCCAGTAGTATCCTAGTTTTTATTTTATTTATTTTTTGGTTGAGGGGAGGGTAAAAAGTGGCATAAGAAAAGAAGGAACTGCTTGTATCATAGCAGGTAGAGATGCTATTCTGAGAACCCACATGCCATCAACAGCAGGAGCTCGTGTGCTTGGGAAGGAAGCAGATGATGGCCCAGGCTCTTGGGCCCCTGCCACCTGTGCCGCAGCCGGATGGAGCTGGAGGCTCCTGGCTTCCGCCTGGCCCAGCCCTGGTTATCTCAGGTCTTTGCAGAGCAGACGGCAGAGCTCCATTTCTGTTTGTCCCTTTTTGTACCTCTTTCTTTCATATAAATAGAATAAACTTAAAGAAGAAAGAAAAGGAAGGAATATGTGGAGATGTTCGATTCAGGGACTGGAAAGTGTTTATACCTGTTTAAAACTTGAATTTGTCCTACTTAACTTCCGGGTGAGAATAGCTCCACGTGTGTTTTCAAGATAAAGATTTGAGTTTCAGGTGACAAGTCTGCCCTAGAGGGACAGATTAGCATGTCTGTGTCTTGGTGATAACTAATGTGCAGAAGAGGAAAGGAGAATGAGAAGACTTGGCAAATGGAAAAGACGGTCAAAAAAAAAAAACCTATTTATCCTTGGATTTTTCAAAGCCAGCTCAAATCTGATATATAACATTGGATCCTACGAAAGTAGAGCCTGATTTTTTATTCCAAAGGAGTTTATTTTTGAACAGTCTTCCCTTAAATCCTTTTTTTTTTTTTTTGGTACATTGATATAATGGGGCCCTTGTGTTAAGCAATAAATCAGTTCAGGTTTAAGCAAAATAAGAACCAATCCACCAGTGTCACATGTTAACAGTGACACTCACTAAATAAAACTCAGTGTGTGTGTATACATGCCTGTCAAAACTCCCAGAGGTTCCAGATAAATCATAAATCTGCTACTTAGAGGAGCAATGTGTACTGTACATGGCCAAGGTATCTTGAGGGTAAACTGTGTTTTGTGGTAAGATGAGTTCACCCTATAGAAACCATTCGTCAGACAAAATATATCATGGTCTTCCTGCATGACGCTTTACATCCCTGATTCCAAATCTGTGGATACAGTAGGATGTAAAATGCAAGTTGCTGTATCCTGACAAAAACTTTATCTAGAAGACAAATTTCCAAGGCCAGTATTTGGGACAGTGGTTAAGTCACCGTTTAAGGCACCCCCCTCCCATATTAGAGAGCCTGAATCCAGTTGCCATCCCAGGCCTGATCCAGTTTGCTAATGTGCGTGGCTCCAATACTTGATTGGTTGAAGTTCCAGAACTCTGGCTGTTGCAGGTATGTCAGAAGTGAACCAACAAATGAAAGATATTTTTTTCTTGCACTCTCTCTGCCTTACAAATAAAATGAAAATGAATGTTTAAAAATTTTTAAAGTTATTGCAAAAATGAAACAGTTGTACACTTAGTTTTAAAAAAAAAAAATGCAAAGAAGTTCTACGTGGTAAGCCACAGGCTGTTTAAAAGGGATATGGCCTCCAAGATTTTGCAAAGTTTACCAGAGCTGTGGGTCCAAACAGGATAAGTTAAAGCCTAAGAAATATGGGATGGGGGTTATAGTCAGAAGTGCTGTGTGAGTGGAGTGGTGGCTCGCGGGGGAGCCGTCTGCATCAGATCTTAGTGCAGGGTCGTGCTGCTGCTTTTGAGAAAGGCGCACACGTACGGAAGTACACACCCAAGGGTGACACTGACAGAAAACAGACGTCAAGGACGAGCAGCCACGCAGTCCTCTGTCCTTGCAAAACCACCAGGCCTTGTGGCCCAGGTGAGCATCGATCGCAGGAAATGCTCTCTTCCCTGGAGACAACAGAGGAGGCTAAAACAGCCTGCTCCCATGGGTGATGCAACTTGAATAAGCGAAACACATGAAAGTTTAAATTTCAGTTATCTAAAAAAACGTAACTGCCTGAAATATCACGCTGGCTCATTAGGGTGCCCAATTAAAGAAGGTGTTTTAATAATAGAGTCAAAGCATTCAGAGTTAGAGATGGAAGTGTTAAAATGATTCTCGGATGCAGACAGGTTCCCTGTTTGATATTTCTGTCTTGTTGTTTGGTGTACAGTAATAGTTGGTCTACAACCAGGCTGTTTTCTCCCTAGGGTGCCTTTAGCCAGCCGAGCTTACATTAAGACAGCTGGACTGCGGTCTACCATAGCTTGGGCAATGGCCTCCCTCGCTGAAATTAAAGTAAGGAGAACGTTTCATTCCTTTAATAACAAAGCCCTTTCCACAAAAAGCTTATACATATATATTGATGACCTGCTGACTTTTTCTCTCTTCCCTTCCTCCTTTTTCCTTATTCTTTTCCACTTTTTGTTTTGTTGAAATTGCTGCTGCAGTAATATATTCCAGTGTGTTGAGACTATTTTGACTATGAAGAAACCAAATAAGACATTGGCTACATTTTATTATTTCTAGTTTTTTGGTGTCATGATTTTAAAAAAAAATATATGACCTATAGAAACTCTGCTTTTAGTTTTTTTTAAAGATTTACTTTTATTGAAAAACAGAGTTTCAGAGAGGACAGAGAGAAAGCTTCCATTGCTAGTTTACTCTGAAAATGGCCACAATGACCATGTCTGAGCCCATCAGAGCCAGGAGCTTCTTCCAGGTTTCCTACTTGGATGCAGGGTCCCAAGGCTGTGAACCATCCTTTCGCTTTCCCAGGCCATAAGCAAGAATCTGGATCGGAAGTGGAGCAGCTATATGGGATGCCAGCCCTACAGGCAGAGGCCTAACATACCATGCTATGATGCTGAACACTCCCAAACCTTTACATTTTTGTTGTTGTTACAGAGAGAGGGAGAGACAGGGGAGATCTTCCATTTACTGAGATTCACCGCAAAATGGCCACAATGCCAAATCCAGAAATCAGAGCTTCTCCTGGTCTCCTACTCTGGTGCAGGGGCCCCATCCTCTGCTCCCTTCCCAGGTCACCAGTAGATGGAGCAGCCAGGACTAGACCCGGTACCCAAACTGAATAGCAGCATCACAAGTGGTGAACTGGTGGGCTCTGTCACCTAGCTGGCCCCAAATCTACCTCTTTCCTTTTTTATTTTGTTAATGGTAGATTTATTTATTTTTAAGTTTTTCCTTAGGCTCAGGAACTTCCCCATCTAACCTCCCCACACACACTGGTTTTCCCTATATTGTAACAATAGCTTAGTCCCTCAAAAACAGTCACAAGTTTCTTCCTGTGGCTAGGAGCTTGATCAGTTTTGCAGATGTTCTAGAGACATGCAAGAATTTTATTATCTAGTCAAAAAACGTTCCCCACTAGCTTTATTATATTACTCTCTGTTGCATCCTGGAGGAACTATTTCAAAATCTCCTATTGCTGTGTGTTTTTTTGTCAGTGCTCGGCAGTCTGGTATACCTAGATGTAGAGTTCTGACGCTCCCATTGTGAGCCATGTCTTTTCACTGCTGCTTAGAGTCCCCGTTCTCTTGATTCATCAGTTTAAACTTAAATTTCCTTTGTAATCTTCAGTCCTGGTTAGGGTGTGTTGCTGCCTGAGGTCTCTGCCACTGTTTCACCGTCAGCTTTATTTTCTTACTAGCCACAGTTGTCCCTGTCGGCGGGAGAATTCAGGTCTGTGTATGACAGAAACACTTGAGGTATCCCTTCTCTCCTTCTCCCTCCTGACGCTGTTTGCTTTTTGCTGTTGTTCATTTGGTTAATAACTAGTGATTCCATTATTCTATCTGGGATTGGGGATTTTTTTCTTATTCCGTTCCCAGCTCTCCTCTTCAACACATATGGCTATAACTACAGGCAGTACTGTGTCTACCATGAAGCCCTCTGGTCCTCCCCAGCTGCCCCCCTACCCTGTCACAATTCTCTTCTCTTCCTTCCATACTGCTATGCCCCCTGGTACGAGGGGACCATTTTTACCCCGTCCTCTCGTAACCCCTGAATGTTAAACTGAGCTGAAATATTGCGCATCAGAGCTTCCCTTAGGGGATACCCCTTCTTTTCCAGAAGTTCTTGGCACTAATGTTACACATCCTGTTCTTTAGCCATTAAGGTAGATCTGTGTGTCACACATGCCTATAGACAAAACACATTGCAAGGTGTACGTATCTCTCTTTGGTTTTTCCCACCCTGTCTTTCCCCACTGAGGCCTCTGATACGGTTCATTTGTTGCTTGGTTAAAGTCTGTTGTTAGGCATTTTCCTCAAATGTAGCATGTGAATCTTGCACTGTCTGAACCCCTTTATATCCTGAAATGTTTCCCTTTGAATGCGGGGTCCTCATCCTGCAGGGGTAGGAATCTTGCCTTTGTAGTCCCTTGCCCTTGGGGACCCGTGGAAGCTGTTCCATTGTCCTTTAGTCTTGGATGTGAGCAGCCTATACCAGTTGGATTTCTCTTGCTTTATAGCTACTCTGTTTTTTGTTTGTTTGTTTGTTTGGATGTTATAAGGGATTTCTCTTTAACCTTAGAGCTCAGTGGTATTACCGGGTGTGTGTGTGTGTGTGTGTGTTCTGTTCTGCTTCTTGCTTGAGACTGCAGAGCATCGAGCTGCAAGCAGAGGGAAGCAGGGAGCTACTTGTAGGTTGTTATAGCCCCAGAACCTAGGATTTCCATTTTCATTTTCTTTAAAATCTTTAGTCCAAATGTCTAATTCTGGCTCTTCCACTTCCTTGTGTGGGAACCTTGGTCAGTATACAAAGGTCCTTCTGAAGGTTGTGGGGGCAGCCTCTGGGCACAGTGGTTAAGACGGTACTTGGGAAGCTGCAGCCTACGTTGGAGGGTATGGGAGTGAGTCCTGGTTCTGCGTCTGATTCCAGCTTTCTGCTGGTGCAGACCCTGGAGGAAGCCGGTGATGGCTCAGCCACTTGACTGGGGTCCTTGCCACCGCTGTGGGAGCCTGTGGTTGAATTCGGGCCCAAGCCAGTGAAAAATCTATGTCTGTCTCTTTCTATCTTTTTGCCTTACAAATATGTACAAATTTGAATGAAAGAAAAAAAAAGAGTTGTGGAGCTGGAGTTAAAAAAGTTAATTTTGGTGCAAAAGAACTGAAATTCTGTATGTTAAGTTTCCCAAAATTTGACGGAAATTGTGTATTATATAAAAACAATGCACAAATTTCTCAATTTTTCACCAAAATAACTTGAATTCTGTATTTCCGATGTTGTCAGAATAGTTATTAAATCTATAGTATTAAATCTATAACATGATTACTTCTCCAGCCCAGGAACTTTTTCTTCCGTCATTTATTTCTCTTCAATGATGTAACAGATTTAAATGTAAGCTCATCTCCATTTGTTTCCTATTCTGAGATTCTGGCTGATGTCCTTCGGCTCCCTGGCTTACCCTGCAGCTCTCTTCCTTTCCTTTCCTAGGACTGACTGCGCCTTTGAAGCTGTTCTTAAACATTCTCTTCCTACTAACAAGAGTGGCAGAGATTTGCTATGCTCTACTTTAAATCACTGATGGAGACTTTCAGCTTATAAAACCACAGGTTGCTGTATGTGTGTGTGTGTGTGTTTCTTTGTTTTTTACTTGTTTCTAGGAAAGCATGTGTGTTGTATTTGAAAGTATCTGAAAGCTCTTGTCTCTGCTGTAATAGTGGAGAGCTGTGTTTTCCCTGGGAGTGTGTGTGCTGAGTGTTTGGCCAGCTGTGAAGGGACCCCGCCTCAGATGTATTGTTATTTTTCTTCGTTGACTTAATGGAGGTAAAGTGTGGTTCTCAAAGCCTTTTTAAATAGCCAGGACCCTGTATCTGGGAAGAGGCCAGTAGATCGCCTGCACCCCTGGGCTTGGCAGGGGCGGGAGAATCTGTCCTCCCGCTGACATCGTGGTGGCCACCTGCCTGCTCACTGCCTGCGCCTTTGGGCATGGGTCTCTGCAGACCAGACTCCTCCTGGGTTCCACGGGCTCACCAACTGGGATCCAGCAGCCATCTGTAGCTTCTGCAGGCCCCTGCCAGCCAGTTCTTCCCTTGGGGGCTTTGGTCAGGTTCTGAGCACCATTCACCCAGCCAGGCACCTAGCACAGAGCTGAGATTCAAGGGGGGCACTGTTTGTAGGTTATCATGCCTCCAGAGTCCACTATTTCCTTTTTGGTTTGATTTAAACCTCTATTCCAAATGTCATTTCATATAAAGAGAGAGGTATGCTTATGATTTTTTTTTTCAAACTGCCATTGGTGTAACCACGGTTTTCTATAACCACCTACAAATTTGAAATGTTACCTTGGTCTTGATTTTAAACAAGCATTTTTCAGAAAAGTCAGAAGTTTATGATTCAGGACCAAAGGTAACATTCAGTAAAACTGTTTTCTTGGGCATGTGCCCTGCTAATACCAAGAGTAGGAAATGTCTCTCAAAATGTGATTCCCTGGCCAAGGAGAAACTTAAAGTCCCAATACATGCTTAGCGGGGCTCTCCCCCGGGGGTGCAGTGGTGACCCACAGTGTGGGCAGCCCTGCAGTCCAACTGTCCAGCGTGACCCAGGGCCCTTTTTGGCATTCGATGCCCAGAGCAGCGTGTAGGCAGCTCCACCTTGAGCGGGCCAGTGTCAGCGATAGTGAAGCCATCACATGCACCTGTTGCATATTTGTCATGTTTGCTATGAATTCTACTTCCTCCCATCATAGCAAGGAAAATCCAGCTCCATACATCACATTTGTCGTGAGAAGCATACAAACACTGCTCTGCCTTGGTCCATGTCCACACGTGCCATGACTCAAAAAGGTCTGTGGCAAAATAACGACATTTAAGGATACTTGTTGTTGTCATAGACCAGGGTCACAGCTTGCAAAAACTACTTATTTGGCCCACTTCATGAGCTTAGCATTCATTTGGAAGCAAATGACCATGTTTGCAATCATTATTCCTTTTGCCCTCATGGCCCTTCCTGGGGGAGGCTCTGTGTGATGCTCTCCTGAGAATGTAGTGTCAGGGGAAGAGTCTGTCTCCTCAAGAACACCTTGTTTCTTTCCATTAGGTATCCCCTGGCCCTGACAGCAACCAGCCGGCCAGTGAGCTCGCTGCCTGCCCCGTAGGCAGATCGGGCGATGGAGAGGTCTTGGCTCCCACACCCTGAGTGCCGCTGGGTCTGCACATGGGGTAGGTGACCTGCGTGCCCTCACTGCGCCTTCTAGACAGTGGCTCCCTCCTGTTTCCCAGAGCCTCTCCGTGTTGTTGACGCACAGGCCATCCCATGATGTCAGGCTGTCACCACAGCAAGCACTTGGGCCATTAGCCCTGTTGTCATTCTTCCTGACTTCCATGGCCACGAAGAATCTGCCTCTCAGCTTCCTGGCTTAGTGGTATCCTGGGCCTTGTCATACCCAGAAGGGTTTTCCTGTATATGTCAAGGTTCGGGAGTCCTGTTCATTACTTTGCTGTTCCTACTTGCTTCTTCTAGTCCCGTAATGCACAGCTCATCTCCCAGGAGATCAGGTGTCTGCTCTGACCACGGTGTGTCACCCTCCACCTGTCCTCAGCTGTCAAACACATTGTGGATTGCACCTGATGTCATTCCACCCAGCTCCTGGCCCATACTTTTAACTCCTTTGCTCCATGTTGGACTTAAACACTAGAATCACAAGAGAGCCTCAATATGTTCTGTCTGCTGTATCTGCAAGCATATTGGAACCTGGATCCACATATTCTGCTTTTGTGTCATTAAAGTAAGTGAATACTCTATTTCCTTTGTGTGCTGGGTTCCATCCACTTGTGTCTGTTTTTCTGCTGGGCTAAAGCTGTCAGTGCACACACCTCTTTGGAAAAAAAAAAATCTCCTAAACTCACATGTTCTTTCACCTACCACTGCCTCTTCCTCTTTGCAGAAAATCAGAGCAGTGGTCTGCATGTTCTCCCTCCCTCCCTCTCAGCTCTGCCCCTCCGGCTGCAGCAGCAGCAGCCCCCGAGTCTGCACACTCGGTGTTTTCATGCTGTGCTCACTCCCCTTCTGGAAACAGCCTTTTTTCTCCTTGTTTCAGGCCCACCGCTCTGGTTCTTCTCTCTCAGTCCATGCAGATGAACCTGTGCCTTTCAGACATCCACAAGGGAGGCCACAGAGGCCTGGTCCAGGGACGCCCCTTGCTGCCTACATAATCTCACCCGTTCTGCTGCTTAAATGAGATTGATGAACTGACTGATACAGACTTCCCAGATTCATCTCTGGAGGCTGATCATCTCCCTTCACCTTCACTCACTTGACGTCCACAGGGCTCTCAAAATGAAGTCTCCCTCGACCTTCCACCTGCCCAGCTCCCCCCCATCTCAGTGACTGGCAGCTCTTCCGTTTGCTCAAGACAGGATCTCTGCAAATGTTGTCTTTTTTCAGTAGTGCATATTCAGTCCATCCTGGGGGCTCTGCCTCTTACAGTATACCTAGAATACAAGCCCATCTCTGCACTTCCCCCGAAAGTGCTCTGCATTCAAGCTACGTCATCGCTTGCCAGGATTCTCTGACCAGCCTCCTTGTCCACTCTCACTTCTGTGTGGTCTGTTCAGCACCCGGCAGCCAGAATGATCCTTTGGAAATGTGATGTCACATTACCCCATCTACATACACTCGGGCTCCAAGAGCTTCCCAGCCTTCCGTGCAGAACCGGCATCCTTAAAGCACTTACGTCTGACATGATGGCATTCCCAGAGGACGCATTAATGCATGCTCTTCCTCCAGGCTTCCTGTTTGCCTTCTGGGGATGGGTAGGATATACTTCCCTGGGGACTGAATCCCATGTGCTAATGGAAGTGAGTCACATCCAGGTGACACCCTCCAGACCAGCGCAGCATCAGCCTCGCACATGAGCTAGGCCTCCAAAGAGAGAAGCAGAGGCCCTTTGCCATTTTGTTTTAAACTTCTGCAGTGTGGGGTGTGGCACCATGCAGTATAACCCAGCCCAGCAGCACACCATTCGGTCTGGCTCCTTCTGCGAGGTCATCACCACATTTCTGTCCTACTCACTATTGTTCTGAAGCAGTGGCCTTCTCCTCACCTTAACCTTGCCAAGCACATTCCTGACCTTAGGGCTTTAACTGACCTGCATTCCTAGTTCAGCATAAAGAGGAATCTTTGCTCTTGGAATGGTAGTCCTCAAGTTTCAGCTTCCTTTTGTGATACCTGGTGTGCTGGACTGGGCAGTACTGACTGAACATTTCTGTTTGCAGGCTGGAGTGTTCGTTTTAGATCCCATGTGTGGACTTGGAACTATACTTCTGGAAGCTGCTAAGGAGTGGCCAGTAAGTCCTAACCCTTGGTGAACCAAGCAGTGTGTTTGCTGTATCAAGTACAGCCACTTACTGATTGTTTTCAAGTAGATAAGCCAGTTAAGGATTGTTATTTTAATCATATTTATTTTCAAGTAGATCATGAGGTTTTTCAAATAGATTATGAAAGGCTAATTAAATTGTGTTATTTCTTTCAGTACTCTGATCAATTTTGGAGAATGTGAGGATTCTAATAAGCAGTCACTACCTAAATCATACGTATCTTCAGACTCTCCAAACGTATGCAATTGTAAAATATTAACAGATTTTTAAATTTTGTGAAAAACTTCAATTTTTTCTACTAAATACTATTTAAAGTGAATAATATAAATGTTTTAAATTGAATTTTCAAACTCCATTCATTTCACATTAATTCTTACTATTGTGGAGGAAATACAAGTAGGTTTTCTTAACTACTTAGAACAGTCCTATTCAAATGACTTGAAATACGGCTTTCCTTCCCCAGGGTGGGTTTTATGTGGGTGCGGATGTCAGCGACTCCCAGTTGCTTGGCGCCTATGACAACCTCAAAGCTGCAGGACTCGAGGATAAAATTGAGTTACTGAAGCTCTCTGTTTTAGGTAAGAAATTAAAATGCAGAAATTGAGGGAAGTGAACACATCAATACATTTAGAAACTTAATACAAAAATAATTAACTTAATACTTTTTGCTTATATCCTCTGTGGACTAATAACCAGTTTACTTCCAGTTATCATAACTTGTCTGTTTCTCCAAACGTTCCTGATTGGTAAGCAGCGTTTCTGTAGTGTAGAAGCAGTGTTTCTGTAGAAGCACTGAGATAGAAGCATGACTTTTTTAAAGATCTGTTGGTTGCATCTAAACCAGTCCTCACATCATAACCCGGATTGGTTAATATAAGATAAATGTGGAGAGCTGTTTCATGAAAACAAACACTCTTCATTGCTTTCAGAGACCAGACGAAACATTCGGAATTATTCTATGTTCTTGCCTCATATTGGAGTGAGGTAACCAACTGTCCCGTTTGCTTAGCCAGTGCTGCCAGTGCTAAAGCCAGGCAAGTCTGGAGCAAGGCAGACCTGGGCATGCCCCTTCCCTCCATGGCAAATGAGCAGTGAAAAACCTGGCTGGGAGTCGAGTCTGCTGAGCTCAGACCGATACCCCTTAGGCCCGTGGTTTTAGCTGCTTAATACACGCCTCTCATTCCTTTTTTTTTTTCTCTCCCTCCTGTTTACTTATGCCTGTCTCTCTTAAAGAAAAAAAAAAGCAAAATGTGAAAACTTAGCCCGTCTTCAAAGTGAATGGATAGTAGAGATGTATAATCAAAAGGGGAGAAGCAGTGAGGATGAGTCTCCATAGAAGAAAATACCAGAAGAACCGCCATGTAAAAGCACAGTAAGGTTCCTCCGAAGAGGAAGCTGTGCTCACGGTTGGCCTCTCGCGGCTCCAGGCCATACTCTGTAATGCGAATGTGCACGTGACACAAGTTCCTGAAGCACTCAGAGCGGTGCTTGCACTGAAATAAGCCTTCCAGGAGCCCTGGTTTCTGTAAGAAAGCCATTGGATGAGACCCCCCCACCACCATCAAGAAAACTGACACTGGGTGTGTGTTGTTCCACTCTGGTGGGTTTCACGGCCTTCCCATCCTCAGGCATCTTGTGAGCGTGAAGGGAAGAATCCTGACTTGGCCGTGTGACCTCTACCACACACTGAACTGCAGTTTTATCTGTTTTCATTTTCATCGAATTCTCCACAAGAGCTCACTTTGAAAAACCAGGCAAAGTTCCTGACTGTTGTTTGGTTGTTAAACATTCCCTTTGGTTAGCAGATAACCAGTTAAATCCTACTATTCAAAAGGAACACCATAACTGCCATGGTAAAGGCACATGTAGTGAGAGAAGAATGAACAAGAGACAAACTAGGGGAGTATTGCAGTAATCCGAGTAGGAAACGCTGGCGTCCTAGGCCAGACTGATAGCATATTCTGCCTTGTGATGGCCAAAGTCAGGCTGTGTCTGGAGGCTGGTGGGAGCAGAGGCCAACTGCAAATGGGTTCCTGAGAGCATGGCAGGACTCACATAGTGGCAGCTGGTAGAATCTTCTGCTTGGGAAGGTGGAGGAAGGAGAGAAATGGGTCAGTAACTAAAAGGAAAGATCTAGGGCATTAGTCAGGGACTTTTTTGACAGAATTTTTTACAGTATGTTTAAATACTGGAGAATGATGTCAGAAGGGACTCGGTACTGCGGGAGACGGGAGAATCACTCCTGTGCTCTATTCCAGACCTAGGGCATGGGTGTGAAGCGTGTACCCCCTGGGAACAGGGGGAGGTGGAGGGGAGAGCAGATGTGGGTCACACCACGCCAGCAGGGCACCATGGTGTACATGCCAGAACGATGTTGGCACCGGAGTGGATTCTTTCTGTTGTAGTTGTTGAAAATATTACAGATGCAGCACATTGGTTTAAAATTTCCTCTGTACTACTGAGATTAAATGTCTTTCATGTGATGTCATTTGTAAGTCTTCTCTTTGATGAGTTCTCCATTTTTATGATAACTTTGTGTAATAGAGTACCATGTGTACTTTAAGGTGTTTGGTTACCACATTTTTCCAGGCTGAATTTCCAACCAGGGGAAACTTTACATCTTGTGAACAATAGGGACCCATATAGCTATTGAATAATTACTTCTCTATTGCTTATCTCTTGCACGGGTGGATAGTATAGCTACGTAAGAGTGTTTATTTTCTTTATGAACTGGGTTTTGCCTGGAGGGCTGTAGTCATCAGTGCGGCTTAGAGGGTTGACACTCACAAATCCCTTTTCCAACATGGATGGGCTTGAGAGTCTCCTACCTTTGGATGTAGTCATCAGGATGCCATGGGCTCACTCAGACTGAATAGAGTCTTCACTGTGTCCTGCAAGAAAAAAAAAAAATAAGAACAGACATCTTTGTATTTTCTGCCGTACAATATGGAGATGCTAACATGCACTTCCCAAGGCAACAGTGAAGGTTTATTACATAAACCAAATATGGTGGTTGACACACAGCATGAATTAATGCCTCTCACAGTGGATAGGAAAATTAAGAATGCTCCCACAGTGTGAGGAAATTAGGCATGTTCCCAACAGGAGCTGTGTTTCTACACAGTGATGCTCTTCTTTCCCTCTGTGTGCGGTAGTGACTTCTGTCTCCTTAAAGGTAACACTCCACTTGTTGTACACCCTCTGCTAGTGTAAAAGAAGAGATGACCACTTAACATGCAGAAATTGTATGAATGCACTCTTAAATTGTAACCATGGAAATGCAGAATCAAATGAATGTCACGTTGCGGGTTCTCTTGGGAAGTGACAGTTATTAGCTAGGCCTTTGGTTTTTGATCTACAGATATATTTACATTCTTAGTAGAAGATGGGTACTGTGGCATGCAGATTTCAGGGGGATTGAATTAAAATGCGAGATAGCTAGGTAAAAGGATATATTTTTACTACTTCCAGTCAGATCTTCTGTGGTCTATCACGCATTGTTTGATAACAAGGATAGTTCAGCTACTCAGCCTCTCATAGAAGAAATGGAATTGAAAAATAAGTCAATGGGGCAAGTGTTTGATGCAGTTAAACCATTGCTTGGGACTTTCATGTCTCCTATCAAAATGTGTGATTCAAGTCCTATCCCCCCTACTTCCAATCCAGCTCCTGCCAATATGTGCCCTGGTTACCAGCAGACAATGGCTTAAATGTTTGGATCTCTTCCACCCACATGGCAAATCTACACTGAGTTTCAGGGTCCTAGGCCAGCCCTGACTGTTGGCAGGCATCTGGGGAGTGAACCAGTAGATGGAAGACATTTCCGTCCTCGTTTCTCTCTGCCTTTCAAATAACATAAAAACACATTTTTTAAAATGTACACTGATAAGTATACTTTAGTGCAAAATAATTTTTTTAACCCAAGCATGGTGTTCTCATAGGATATATTTTTCATAAAATTTTTGAAGATACCCTCTCATTTCTGTAACAAAACTATTGGCAACAATTGTGCTTTGTTCTCAAGCATCCCTTCTTTTCACCATGTGTGAAGATGACATGCTAAATAAGCATCCCCTAACATAGTGGGTACATTTTTCTTAAGACACAATATGTTATCTGATGCCCACCTTGCCTACTGCCTTGACACCTGGCTGGTGTTGTCAGCAGAAGGCCTTTGTGGGCAGTTACATGTTGTCCACTCTGTATCACTGTCATCTTTCTTCGCAAACGAAATCTGCTGCATCAACTCCAGTTCAAGTTCAGCCTCCTCTCCCCTTCCCATCCCATACCCCCCACAATTCTTAGAAATTCAGGAAAAGCATTTTCAGTCAGAGATGAAACATCTAGTGAGTACTATTGTCAATTCAGTCCAGCACTGTACAAGTGCCCATTTAGGCATGAATCTGGGCCACTATAGCATTTTGACACAATTCAGTATTATCACTAAACCTGGAGCAAAACTGTACCTGGAATTTCATGTGACACCCATGCCAATCATACTTGCCCCGAAACATGGGGCAGCTTGTTAAGTGAAGCAGGCACTTAACCAACACCTTTTATATTTTTATAATATACAAAACATCACTAAATTTCAATCTGTGATGAAGACAGTTGAATACAAAAAAATGTTTCAGGAGCCAGCATGTGATGGCTTAGTGAGTAAAGCCACCATCTGTATCTCCGGTGCCATTTCGTGTCCTTGCTGCTCGCTCTTTCTTTCTTTCTCTCTCTCTTTCTTCTTTCTTTCTTTCTCTCTTTCTTTCTTTTTTTACATTCATTTATTTTTATTGGAAAGCCAGATTTACAGAGAGAAGGAGACAGAGAGAGAAAGAGTATCTGTCTGCTGGTTCACTCCCCAAGTGGCCACAACACCTGGAGCTGAGTCAATCCAAAGTCAGGAGCTTCTTCCAGGTCTCCCATGCAGGCACAGGGTCCCAAGGCTTTGGGCCATCCTTGACTGCTTTCCTAGACCACAAGCAGGGAGTTGGATGGGAAGTGGAGCAGCCTAGACATGAACTGGCACCCATATGGGATCCTAGCGCTTGCAAGACAAAGATTTAGACCCCAGGAAACCACACTGGGCCTGGCTGCTCCACTTCTGATCTGACTCCTGGTTAATATCCTAGGAAAAGCTGTGGATGATGATCCAAATGTTTGGGCTTCTGCTACCCACTTTGCAAATCCAGAGGGAGCTCCTGGTCCTGGCTTCGGTCTGACCCAGTCCTGGCAATTGTGATCATTTGGGGAGTGAGGCAGTACATGGAAAATCTCTTTCTCTGACTCTCCCTTTCTGTAAGTCTTTCAAAAAAATAAATAGTAGTTCCTTTTTTTTTTTTAAGTAACTCAACATAGCAGTAAATTACCTCTGCTTTTCTGCTATCAGTTGAAAGAACTTTGAAATAACTGCTCCCTGTATCAACCAGGGTCCAACAATGGTGTTATAAACGCTTCTGTTTCATGAACTAGTTGTGTAACCTTGATTGCATGCTCTTCAGCCTTCTTTGAAAATCTGCGGAGGATCTGACAGATGGGATGTGGAAAGAATTAGCTTTGCTTTTTTGAAGAATTGAAGTTAGTAACAACAACAAAATCAGATCTACTCTCTTTCCCATGGCACTTTCTGCTGCTTGTCATTCCATGTAGCATTCGAGTTCACAAAATTCACATTCTCTCTCACAACAGTAATGTCCACAATTATTTAAAAGTACTTCTGTTGGTCTTCGAGTTAAATTGCCTTAACTTTTTTATTCCTCAGTTGATTCATCTCTTAAATGTCTGGATTGTATTTATATTTCCCCCCAAAAAAAGGCTGGTTAGTAAAATGTTTAACTTTTTCATATTTGAAAATGTCTATGGTAAAATGACACTCAGTTGGCAATAATATTTTTCGATGTCACCTTGTAAGTTATCAACAGTGGCTCTGTAACTTTCTGTTTGTTTCCATCACAATCTAAACACATTGGGACGTTTTTGCATTGGAGTGTGACATTCCTGCACTCGCCTGCTGCCGCTGAGGTTTTTCCTGTCTTTGTTGTTCTTTTTCTCATTCCAGAAGGTCAGGGATGTCCCAGACCCTTCCTTGGAATTCCCATGTCTTCCTAATCTAAAAATCCATAATGCTTAATCTTACACACGCCAACTGCAGTCTCCATCTAGAGTGTATCATCGTAGAGTTATTATCCAAATAGGGACATTTTTGAGAATGAAAGTGCTAGAAATTATTCAGCGTATGGTATTTTGAAATATAAGTTAAATTCTTAACTTCTTATGGTAAACCTGAAAGTATATGTGTATAAATATCTATACATGCTGAATTTTTATTAAAAAAAAACTTTTTTTAAAAAAACCTAATTTTTATTTTGAAGTGCAGATTAATAGAGAGAAGGAAAAACAGAGAAAAATCTTTAATCCACTAATCTACTCCCTAAATGGCCGCAACAGCCAAAGCTGAGCCAGCCTGAACTCAGGAGTGTCCTCTCGATCTTGCACATGGGTTCAGGGTTCCAAAAACTTGAACTACCCTCGCCTGGTTTCCCATGCCATAAGCAGGAAGCTGGAATCAGAAGCGAGACAGCCAAGACACAAACCATTATCATACGGGATGCTGGCGCTGGCAGGAAGAGAATTAGCCTGTTGAGCCATAGCACCTACCCTCCCCACAGGAAAGTTTTTGAAATACTGTTTTACAATTAAGGTGACAAGCAAAGCAATTATTTTAGTCAACTAACTAGTGTATTTTTTATGTATGTATATGTGCTATATAAAGCAAAAACACCTTGCAATTAGATTATTCTTTGTCATAAATAAGATGTGCTATGATTTCCTTATCTGTTTTCAGTCATTCTGAAAAATTGTAGAGGACTGCCATAGTTGTGTCCTAATTCAGTTCTAAAGTAAGTTAGGGTGTCCCATAAGTTAATTCTACAATTAAGTTCATAAAGTTAAATTCTAGGGGGAAAAAACTCCTGCTTAGACCTATTAATGACCCTGTTTTGTTTTATTTAACTATCACTCTAATTTCACGTCAGGGTTTGAACTAGGAGAGGTCATTAGCCAAAACACAGAATTTATTGTTTCATTTTAAAATTTGTCAACAGGAATTCTTGTGGTATTTAGGAAAGATTATTAAATATTATTACATCCCTACAGAATTAGATACTAATACTGAAAATTGTGTCATTTGGGAAAGCAGAATAGAATCTGTAGAATATGGTATTTTTCTAAGTAACTTAATATATTCGTGGGCCTGGCAACTTCCTATACACATATTCAGTTTAGACAGTTGAGTTTTCTGGTTCATTTAAATTCTGCTTGCGACATATTTTATCATACCTGAAAAAAATATTTGCCCAGTAACAAAATACAGAAAATATAGTAACTAGTATTTATCATTAGTAATTCTGAAAGCATTTGAGAATCCTGTGATTGCTTAGAAACAAAACCGGCAGCCCTAAATTTTATTTAAAATGCAAAAAAAATCCATTTTTAATAACTTAGGCTATAAATATTTAACCTTATTGTAAGCAGACTCTCTGGTTTCTATATTGCAGATTTGCCATTGCCATCAGAAAGCATTGATGTTATTATTTCTGACATTCCATTTGGGAAAAAGTTTAAGTTAGCAAAAGACATTAAAAGAATTCTGCAAGAAATGGAGAGGTGAGTCATAGAACTTATTTCTGTAATTCTGTAATTTTTTGGCTCTGGGACACTTAACCAAAACGTATAATTCTTCAGTTAAAGATCTGATTGCATCGTAGTAATATGTCAGATTTTTGTGGCTTATTTTTCTAAGATTTCATATGAGAAGTTTATACTTGTGATACAATTATGCCATTATCATTTTTACTCTTTAAATTTGATTCAGAAAAACTATTTTTCAGTACTGCCTGACATTTGAATGTAAGAAACAGTGACCTATTATTTCAGTCACCGAGCTAGGTAATTTGCATATTTGCTTCTGATCCTCACTTCATCTTATTAGCTGAGTGAATATCCCGTATTAAAAAAGATCATTGTGCTGCATTTTTCAGTATTTTTCAGTATTTCTGTTTTCACTTACTTGAAAGGCAGAATGACAGAGACAGATCTTCATTCTTGTTTGGGGTTATCCTTTGTTTTTTTTTTTTAAGTTTTTTTGAAAGGCAGATTTTTAGAGAGGAGGGAGGAGAGGAGGCAAGGGAAGAGCTCCTCTGTCTGCTGGTTCACTCCCCGAATGGCTGCAATGGCCAGAGCTGAGCTGCTCTGAAGCCAAGAGCCAGGAATTTCTTCCTGACCTCCATGTAGGTACAGGGTTCCAAGGCCTTGGCCCATCCTCCCCTGCTTTCCCACGCCACGAGAAGGGAGCGGGCTCAGAAGTGGAGCAGCTAAGACATAATCTGGCTCCTTAGGGGTGCTGACACTTACAGGTGGAGGATTAACCTATATACCGCCACGCCCACATCTGCGTTTAAGTGACCTAAGTCTTGATTTTATTACCCGAGACCCCTCTCTCTGAGCAACACTTCTGATTCCTACAACTGTCAAACACCTCTTCTCTGCTCCCACAGCCCAAGATCGCAGTTCCCTCAGATGGGCTCTGTTTGATTTCACATTCCAGTCATCACCGGAGCTCATAACAAACCTGGATGTCCACTGCCCCGCCTCTGGCACCGGGGAGCCTGTTTCTTCCCCCGCTTGAGGCTGGCTCCCTCTGCCTCGGTGACATTAATGACTGTTCCACTTTTCTCTTAGGAAATCTGAGCAGCTCAGGCTGCTCCTCCTGTCCTCACCTGAAATGTGGAGTCTCTGTTCGTCAGTCCCTGTTCTCTGCCACCTCAGTGATCCCATCCACCCTCATAGCCGCGTGTACCCTTTACTCCTGGGAAATCCGCTCTGTGCCCTGGACACTGGTCTTGCTCAGCCACTCCAGGCTGCACACCCGGCTGTCTGTTGGAACCCACACTTAGGGTATCGACCCGTCCAGCCTGCCCTCTGTTCCGCCCACCACTCCCTCCTCCTGCCACCCTGAATCACCTGCCACGATGGACCACATTCAGTGCCTTGACTTCCTCTCCTTGCTGTGCTTCCTGCACCCTACCTTGCCCTAGTCCCTCACTGTCCCTTTGGGATCCCTCCTGCTTGTCCCTTGACTCAGAACTGAGATCCCAGCCTCTAGGAATGACCCACCTCTCCTGGGAGTGTCCCCACCCTCCTTCCACATGCCATGTGGTATGTATGCCCAGAAACCCGTCACTTGCCCCCTCCTCCCACCTAGGAGGCTCTCAGCCACGTGCAGGGTTGCGTTGCTCACTGCCTCAGCTGCAGAGCCGGGCAGCCCTGGGCTGAGTGAGCCGGCCCGAGAACTCTCCTCCGAGAGCTGCCCTCTCAAGCTCTGCCTGCTTTTTGCTCATCTTCCCTTCGTCCTTGCCCCGAGCTCTCGTGACTTCCTCCTGCCATCGACCTATGCCTTTAGTATGTGCAGATTCTTCAGGATTCTGCCAGGTGCCTTTTCCTTTATACAGTCATGGATTAGGATGCAACTACAAATTACGTTGTCGAAATTACGTTGACGCCTGCCTTTTGAGTAAAACTAGATCATTAAAGGAGATTTGTACTTAAGAATTCATAATTATTCCAATGAACGTGCGTTATGGCAGATGCTACGTAACTGCCAAACATCCTTGCATTTTAATGGACAGCATGAGATTTCAAATCAGCAATACCAAATATTTTAGGTAAAGTGGGGCTGTTGTCTAAGGAGACAGAAGAACTCGTGCTCATTTTCCTTTTTTGCCACAGAGTGCTCCGTGCTGGCGGGACTATCGTCCTGCTGCTTGGTGAAAATCACTACAGGCGCCTCACCAGCCAGGCGGAGAGCGGCCTTCCTCCGGATGCCAAGGGCAGCCACATGGACGGACCTGGGACTGGCAGGTGCTTAAAGCCTGAAGACAAGATGGACAGCCCAGGGACCGTGGCATCCTCCTTCAACACCAGTAACCAGGAGTACTTAGATCAGATGTCACCATTTGGCTCTTTGGTCCCGACGGAATGCTACAAAGTTAGCCTTGGAAAAACAGACGCTTTCCTGTGTAAATATAAGAAGGCATATCCTTACGGCTCGTAGGAAGCCTGCCACCAGCCAGGTCCTCATCTCTACGCCAGCGGCATGGCGGCCCCAGAGCTCTGAGTGAGCAAACTCCCCAGAGACATGGCTGATTGACACAGGTTCTTAGAATCTCTCCTCTCGAGTGCATAACATGCATACAAAAAAGAGTTACTGAATATTTTAAGAGACTCTGAAGTTTGTATTTTGTCACAAGGTGGAAAGATCTGCTTGGCCAGAAATTGGTCCTTTGCAAAACTTCAACTTTAAACTTTTCAGGGCTTGACATGAGCGTGTCACGGTCAACACCAGCTCGGTGATATTTTAACTTTCAGATGTTTGGAAATGATGAACAATTTACATGTGAACTTCTTTTGATATTAAACCTAACTTTTGATCCCCTAATTTTCTCCTTCATTGGAATGAAAATATTTTTTATTTGCTGTCTGTGGTTATATATCTCATTATATAGAGCAACAATCAGAAGAGGAATTTGAGTAAAGCCAGTATGTTTCAACATGGTAGAAAACGGAATTTGCTTTTATCTTAAAAGCATTAATACACTGTCACCTCTTTCATATGTAGGAAGCTCAGTGTGTTTCTGACGTTCACTGAGAAAAAGATGGAAGTGCGAGTTGCGAATTGCTTCCCTTCAGTGGCCCGGCAGAGTGGCTCGGGGCTCTGGCTGCCGTGGGGCCAGCTGAACACCCCCCTTGCTCCCTTCTTAGGCATCTCGGCACTCTGACATAGAAGCCTGAAATCTTGCCATGCGGCCAGGGTGTGACTGGAACTGGGTCCTTGGCGTCAGGGTGCACTCAGCCGCGTGTGCTATGCCAACTGTGCCCAGTGGCAGCAGCAGAGCATCCTCTAGACCCAGCGAGAAAGCAGCTGGCCTGAGCAGCAGCGCCCCTGGCCGGGGAGCTAGGCCCTGCTCTCTGGCCTTCCTGTCAGCCAAGAGAGCTGCTTAAGTCATTTCTGAATACGGTCCATTTCTGCTATTGAGGCTGCTAAGCAGCAGCCGAAACTCTTGTGTCTGATTGATACTTAGAGAGGTTTCAAGCAACCTCCCGCCACCCCAGAAATGTGAATCTGTTTATTGCCTGCTTTGTTCAGTTGGGTTAAAGACAGCAAGGGTATAGCTTGTATTTTACAAAGTCTATGGCACATGACAGTGAAACAATGGGTTATTCCTGCATTTATGTCATGCTAAATACATCAAGAACCTGGAACACGAGCACTATGGGGCAGGCTGTGCTCTTCCGAGAACTTGGAACAAAACACGGTTTCCCCGGTCCTCACTCCTTGAGCTCAAGCAGTGGTTGCAGCCATGGGCTCTTCTGTCCTCCAGGGAATGCCCGACAATGCCTGCAGGCAGTTTGGTTTACAGCAACTTGTGGGGAGAAGAGTGAGGTGACTGACTTCAAGTGGGTGAAGGTCACAGTTACTGCTCCAGTGTCCTGCAAGGCCTTGCGGGGCAGCCCCTGCAGCAAAGAATCACCGGGGTCCAGGATGCCAGCAGCACCCGGGCTACTGATGGGTCAAGGTCCAGCAGGGATGATAGGACCACAGCAGGGGAGCTCTGGTAGACAGAAGACTGGGATGGCTGAAAAGCAACCTCAGAGGCGGAGCCTGCCTGAGTGGTGGAGTGTGTGTACCACCAGACCTCACAGCGTACCTGTGATATGTTGGGGTTTCATTAGGAAATGGGGACCCGGAACACTGAAACAGAAGCAGAAAGGGATTGGGTGACGCATGCTGCAAGCCCCACTCACCCTCCTATGCTGCCAGACACAGTTCCTTTCTATATTGCTTCTAGCATTGCAGCTAAGGGCGGTGCTTGGCAAGGCTTAAGGCCCTGGGAGGAAGAATTCCAAACACAGCCAACTGATCCACGCAGCACATCTAAGAGGATGGATTACATCATACTAGGAGAAAAGAGCTGTGCTGCTACATCGGAGGGAATCTGTTGATGTGGGTACCTTCAGCAGAGGTTCTGGAGTTGCTAGAATTGAGCAGCTGGGTGGGGTTCCAGTACAGGTGGTAGGAGGCAAGTGGATGTTCCAGTTGTATTTTCTACGTAGCTCCCTCAGGATCTGCTTATGATGGAAGAAGAGATGGCAATGGGTTGGGTTTTTAACCATGCACCTAGTCCGAGGGGTTGCCATCAGCTGCGTGGGGTGGTGGTGGGGGGAAGTTTTGGGGGAGATATCAGAAGTTGACATTTGGACTTGCTCGTCTAGACAGTCCAATAGAGACCTGCCTAATTGAGACAGACTAAAATAGCAAGTCTAGTTGAGAGTCACTTGCTAGACAGTTTTAGACTTGCTAATTTTGAAATGTGCATTAAACATAAAGAGGCGATGTCAAGTACTCAATTGAAAGCATGAGGCTACAGCTGAAGCCAAAGGTGCGCTCAGCTCTTCTTGGGGAATTGTCAGCATTGGCATGCGTTTATGCAGGATGAGCCCTCCAAAGGACTGAGTGTCATAAAGAAAAGGACGGCGTAGAGGCCTGGATTCCCACTCTGCTGCAACACTGACAGACGTTGCAAAGGAGAAAGAATAACCAGCGAGGTAGGAAGAAAACCAAGGGTGTGACAGCCTGGGAGGGTATGCAGGGGCCAGTGGTCACCCCCTGTAACTGCAGCTAAGCAGCCAACCATGACAGGGACTGGAAATGGAGCGATTAGTAATGAGACAGACTATGGAAGCCTTGACACTGGCTGACGTGGGCTTATAAAAGAAACCGGACAAAGAGCCGGACACAGTGAACCCAGGCAGCTGGGGGCCATTCTGTGCGACAGGGGCCCGGAGAAATGAGAGCAGTGAGGAGGAATCGAGAGAACGCTTCTGTTTTGTTTTTCTTAGCAAGCCTGTATTTTCATGTTGAAGAGAATCCTCCAGAAGGAGGTAAAAACTTGAAAAAGCAGGAGAAAGAAGACCAATGTGGGGGCGATGTCCTGAGATGAGCGCGTGGGGCAGTCTGCAGAGGGGAGGGGGTATTGGCTGCAGATCAGAGAATGAAGAATTTATCCACGATTGCTGGCCAGACATCTCTGCAGTAAGATGACAAATGTGTCCCCAAATATTTTTCATTTTATCTACTCAAAGTAAAAAAATTATGAAAAAGTGGGCTTGGGGCAGACCATGTCAAACCTAAGCACAAAGAAAAACATCAACTAAAAAAAAAAATCACAGTTACTAAGGGTAGGTTCTATTCCAAGTAACTGTGATTTACAAGAATAGATAAAAGACTTTGTTCTTCGAGAACTGGGCACAGGAGGGTTGGAAGAGACCGAGCTACGCAGCAAGCACTTCCAAGGCAGGAGCCGTTGGCAGGCAGAAGCGAGCAGAGCGCACCCATGAGTGCCAAGGGTGCCAAGGGTCTCCTTTCTGCTGAGGCTCGCTCGTTTGGCTCGTTCCACTGATGCCCTTTGCATTCAGTTGCTCTTATCTGTGACACAACATATTAATGTGCTGGAGGGGGAGTAGGAAGTCTCGTAGGAACCAACCCAGTTTCACATTACAGAGGCGTCATCTTCCTACTTGAGTTATTGTCCATGACGGAAAGCTGCCTTGTAGAACAGGCTGCGGCAGGAGCAGATGCTGGCGGGTGGGTGGTATGGTGCTGGTAGAGCGTGGAGGTTCTCTTCTTACTGCTCCAGTTTTCTCTGTCACCAATTACACTGCGACCCACCCAGTTCTTGAGTCTCTAGTTAGAGCAGCTCTCTCCAGCAGTGACAGGGTCCCCAGATGGCTTTCTGCCCCACAAAAGAAGGATATTGGTTATTCGCAGGTACATGGTCAGATGCCCTAGGCTCTGCCCTCCTCTTCAGATACCTGTCTTGGCAGGAGCTACAGATGGGAGACCTACACCAATCAAAACAGCGCAGGTGCTGAGAGAGCTCTGACAGCTGGAGCAGCAGCCAATGCCACCAGTGGGGTCAATTTTGTTCACGGAGGACTGAGCCAAGAAGGGCTCCCCAGTCAGTTGAGGCCCCTCCATCAGCGGCTCTGCAGCCTGGTCCTGATGACCCAGGAGAGCTAAAGGCGCTCAGGGTGTGTGATTGACCTGGATGCTGTGTGACGCAAACAGTCAGGCCCAACTGGGGAAGCAGAGCTGTAGCCTGTTGACTCCTGGAGAATAAGCCAAGCTCTCTTAGCAAGTTATCATTCTCCTTTGGGAAATCCCACGTTGCTGCGGAGGCCCTGAGGACAGGCCGCTGGGTGGTTACGTGCTCTCCCCTGCCCATCTTGAACCGGGAGGATGCTGATACATCGAGCCAGCAGCGCCCTCTTCAGGATGGACTTGTGTATATCAGTCTTGAGCTGCCCACTCAGAAGCCGAAGTGGCATCAGTGCCTGAGCCTTGCAGGGCACTCCCCTCCAACCCCTCACCCCCAGGATCGCCCAGCGTATTTTAAGGAAGAAAAACGTCAAGTCTGGCTGATGAATGACTCTGTAGGTTTTGCTGGCCCCTGCTGAAATTTTAACTCCTGCAGCTTTGCAGCCACACCCAGGGCAAGGGACAATGAAGAAAGCAATGCCTTCCAAGGGGCAGAACTTGGAGTAAACGACACCATGCACTTTGTGAGGAGGCAGGTCCATCTCAGCAAGCCCCAGTTGGGGTCTAACAGGACTGAATGATCAGACAGGAAAGCAGGTGTAGGAGAGAGGGGATGGATGTTCCCTAGAGACCCCGATTCAGAAGAGGCTCTCTGTATGCGGGCGGATGTTTGCTTGCCCTGACCCCGGGGGAGGCCAGTCTGCTACCCAGCCACCATGCTCCTTGCTCTTGTAGTCACAGTGGTAATTTATGCTCACTGGAATAACCATTTATTTTACATTTGGATTTTCCATGCCAATAATGTCTTCCATGCCCTAACCAAGTGACCTCACTCCCTATTTTTTATTTCCGTGCTCACCAAAGGAGCTCGTTTGACAGCCATCTGAGTGCAAAAGCAGACCCTATGCTCACAGCCTTTCGTGTATGACCCATATTCCATCACATGCAAGAGAAAGTTTACAGCAAGCCAAACACCTGCAGAGAAGTGACTCCTGACAGGAGGCGGCGCTGCTGTGTGTGTTTTCAGCCAGTGACCAACAGATGGTGCTGTTTCTCGTATAGTCAGGACACAGACCACGAGAAGCCAGAGACAGGGCCAGTTGCACATCCAACTACCACACCCCAGTGCTCTACTGCAGTGCTTACAGCGTATCCCTGGAGTGCCTGGACTCCTTCGTTGAGAGATCTCAGTGCCTCCTGCTACAGGTGAGCCCTCGGTGCTGTTATCTATTGCATGAAGAACTATCACCTCATGGAAAGATTGGGTAAATTACAGCAAATAACTTTACCAGTGCCACCAGCCCCAGCAGCACTGTCACCCCTAGCCAACGAGTACTCGT